ACAGGACTGACTATTCAACTGTAATAGTAGAGTTGGAGTTACTGTACAGACACATATCTCAAGTCAGGACCTGGCCCCCTGCAGTGTATAATGACTGTACAGATGTATATTTATTTTGTAAAGATCTTGTCCTAATTCTCTTTTAATCCTCATCCTCCCTCGGTCACTAAACACCCTTCCCTTTACTCCCCCCCCCCCCCCCACCCCCCACCCTATAACCCAAACCCTAATTCACCCCCCCCCCCCCACCCACCCCCCCACCCAACCCTATCCCTACTCTCCTTTCCAAAACTCAACTTCCCATAATGCTCTGCTCTACTCTCAACCCCAACCCCACCCTCTAAAAACTCCATGTCCCATCATGCACCTCTCCCTCCTCCAGATGCCCAGCCTACAGAGGCAGAGACGGCGGTGTGGAACCAGGTCAGTGCTGTGCTGGAGGAGGCCCACTGCATCCTGGCCGAACTACAGTCTTACAACGGGGCGGGACAGGAGATACGAGAGGTGAGGGGAGGGGTGTGTGTGTGTGGAGGGGGGAGGAGACATAAATGGAATATGAATACATTAATATGTTAATGACATTAAGTGCTGTAACAAATAAGCCAATCGGTAGCCTGCTATTCTGCTACACACAAAGGATCATTTATCGCCAAAATACAAATATTTTAGTTCCTCCAGTATTAGTGTTATTCTTGTCTTGTTCACCAGCTGCGTGCATCTCTCAAGTAGGAGAGAACCTACAAGCCACACGGGTATTGCCACAAACGTTATACCAACGGTTCATCAAACAAGTTCTACTGTTCAAACGTTGGTCTTAGTGTGTGGTGGTGGTGGTGGCTGGTGGTGTCGAGTCAAGTTAAAAGGTTTGCTCAGCTGTGTCACACACAAACACAAAGCTGTGATCTCTCTCTCTCGCTCACATCATAGACATCAAAGCAGCCGGGCAGTCAGCCAGTGGCCAGGCATCAAACGCAGAACGCACAACAGTCATTACAACGCTATTATCAACACTAGACTGGGAACCAGTGGCTTTAATTCCCACTCCTGTATCAACGATCACTGGGAAGAGAATAGCATGGCTGTTGGGCTTTGATCACTCTGTAGTGCAGTAGTATTGAGTATAGTATAGTATAGTATAGTACAGTGTGGTATAGTGTAGTGAGGTATAGTGTAGTATAGTTATAGTGTAGTGTAGTACATTATAGGATAATGGACTGTAGTATAGTATAGTAATATTATAATAATAGTATAATAATAGTATAGTTATAGTATAGTTAGTATAGTATAGTATGGTAGTAGCTTCCTGCTGCCGTTTACTTTCCATCCAAAGACAGACAGCGTATATCTTGAAGTAATCACTAATCTATCACGATTCCATGACACAGATAGCTCTCACTAATCCAGTACTGTCAGATCAGTGATTACTTGAGGAAGGAAGGAAGGAATGTTAGTTACCAATACTCTCTTTTCCAGATGAACATTCTATACTTCCCTAAGTTGTGGATTGTGTTTGCTAAGTATCCAGAGTCTCAACAACTATTCTATACTTCTGCTCTTTCTCTCTCTTCCCCCATCTTCCTCTCCTCCTCCTCCTTCTCCACCCCTTCCTCTTCTCCTCCTCCTCCTCCTCCTCTTCCTCTTCTCCTCCTCCTCCTCCTCTTCCTCTTCTCCTCCTCCTCCTCCTCCCTCTCTTCCTCTTCTACTCTTTTTCCTCCTCCACCTCGCCCTCTCATCCAGGCCATCCAGAACCCAGGTGATCTGCAGCTACAGGAGAAGGCCTGGAATGCAGTTTGCCCCCTGGTGGCCAAGCTCAAACGCTTCTACGAGTTCTCCCTCCGACTGGGTGGGTGACACGCACGCACGCAGACCACGCACACACACACAAACACGCACACACACTGCCACGCTTCTGCATCAACACGCCCTGCAGGCAGCGACAAGAGAGGAGAGAGAGATCAGGGGATAGTCACAAAATGAAAACACAGAGTTATCTCAGACTATTTATAACACAAGGAGAGAGTTATCTCAGACTATTTATAACACAAGGAGAGAGTTATCTCAGACTATTTATAACAGAAGGAGAGAGTTATCTCAGACTATTTATAACACAAGGAGAGAGTTATCTCAGACTATTTATAACACAAGGAGAGAGTTATCTCAGACTATTTATAACAGAAGGAGAGAGTTATCGCAGACTATTTATAACACAAGGAGAGAGTTATCTCAGACTATTTATAACACAAGGAGAGAGTTATCTCAGACTATTTATAACACAAGGAGAGAGTTATCTCAGACTATTTATAACAGAAGGAGAGAGTTATCTCAGACTATTTATAACACAAGGAGAGAGTTATCTCAGACTATTTATAACACAAGGAGAGAGTTATCTCAGACTATTTATAACACAAGGAGAGAGTTATCTCAGACTATTTATAACACAAGGAGAGAGTCATCTCAGACTATTTATAACAGAAGGAGAGAGTTATCTCAGACTATTTATAACAGAAGGAGAGAGTTATCTCAGACTATTTATAAACAAGGAGAGAGTTATCTCAGACTATTTATAACACAAGGAGAGAGTTATCGCAGACTATTTATAACACAAGGAGAGAGTTATCTCAGACTATTTATAACACAAGGAGAGTTATCTCAGACTATTTATAACACAAGGAGAGAGTTATCTCAGACTATTTATACACAAGGAGAGAGTTATCTCAGACTATTATAACACAAGGAGAGAGTCTCTCAGACTATTTAACAAAGGAGAGGTTATCTCAGACTTATTATAACAGAAGGAGAGAGTTATCGCAGACTATTTAAACACAAGGAGAGAGTTATCTCAGACTATTTATAAACAAAGGAGAGAGTTATCTCAGACTATTTATAACACAAGAGAAGAGTTATCTCAGACTATTTATAACACAAGGAGAGGAGTTATCTAGACTATTTATAACACAAGGAGAGAGTCATCAGACTTTATAACAGAAGAGAGAGTTATCGCAGACTATTTATAACACAAGGAGAGAGTTATCGCAGACTATTTTATAACAGAAGGAGAGAGTTATCTCAGACTATTTATAACAGACAGGAGAGAGTTATCGACAGACTATTTATAACAGAAGGAGCGAGTTATCTCAGACTATTTATAACACAAGGAAGAGTTATCTCAGACTATTTATACACAAGGAGCGAGTTATCTCAGACTATTTATAACACAAGGAGAGAGTTCATCTCAGACTATTATAACAGAAGGAGAGAATTATCTCAGACTATTTAAACACAAGGAGAGAGTTATCTCAGACATTTATAACATCAAGGGAGAATTATCGGCAGACTATTTATAACAGAAGGAGAGAGTCATCGCAGAGATTATAAAAGAAGGAGAGGAGTTATCTCAGACAGTTTAGAACAGAAGGAGAGAGTCATCGCAGACTATAACACAGAAGAAGAGTCACTGATGATGTAGAGTAGGGCTTCAACGGCTCCCTTGCGACTCTCCTCTCACCCCGCTCTGATCCCCTCCTCTCCTATAATCTACTCCCTCCTTCCCAACAAAAATCGAAAAATCACCATCTCCTCTCTCCTCTCCCCTCCCGCTCCCTCCTACTCCTCTCCTCTCCCCTCCTCTCCTCTCCCTCTCTCCCTCCTATCCTCGCTCCCTCGCTCTCCTCTCCTCCTCTCCTCTCCTCTCCTCTTCCTCTCAGCCCCCTCTGACCTAGCAGGCAGGCAGCAGTTGCTACGGCAACAACGGAACGCGGTCATCGTGCCGAATAGATAGAATATAGAGAAGAGACAGAGAAGAGACAGAGAGAGAGACAGAGAGACAGAGAGAGAGACAGAGAGACAGAGAGACAGAGAGAGAGAGACACAAAGAATCAGTGCTGTAGTCAACGCCTATAGGCAGAGCTCAAATGACACCCTATTCCCCATAGCAGAAAGGGCTCTGGTCAATAGAAGTGCACTACATGGGGCATAGGGTGTCATTTGAGATGCAGGAAGAATGTGCCATTGCTACCTGTTTAGACCACTGAGAAAAGTCACCACAATCTGAGAGGTGACGCAATGACCGTCAATCAATTGATGATTCTGAAAAGTACACCCCCTAACCCACAGGACATTACCTTGAACATTCTCTCTACTCACTCTATATCTATGCTACAGCAGAGCCATATAATGTATATAAATGGCTATGCGCTTAATGGTTCTGGGCTCGCGGCAGCCGGAGGAGGGACAGTGGACAGTGGAGTTTCTATCTGTTATATATCTATGCTACAGTACTCTGGCTAGCAGCAGCGCGGAGAGAGTGAGTTCATCGTATATATCTATGCTAAAAGTACTCTGGCAAAGCAGCAGGACGGAATGGTTTCTATCTGTTATATATCTATGCTACGGCAGCAGAGAGAGTAATATATGCTATATTGGAGCAGCAGGAGAGTTGAGTTTCTTCTGGTATATCTATGCTACAGTAGCTCTGGGCTAGCAGCAGGAGGAGAGTAGAGTTTCTATCTGTTATATATCTATGCTACAGTAGCTCTGGGCTAGCAGCAGGAGGACGGAGAGTGGAGTTTCTATCTGTTATATATCTATGCTACAGTAGCTCTGGGCTAGCAGCAGGAGGAGAGTGGCGTTTCTACCAAGGCCATCTCAGTTAAAACACATCAGTACTGTATTTATAGAAGAGCTGTTGAATAGTTAATGATTCAGAGGGAAGGGATGGGGCCCCCACGGGGACAAGCTGAGCCATTACTTTGACGGCGCTACGTACAGCTATACTGTGGTCTGGGTTCAATAGCATGTGTAGGGACACCGTAGAAAGGGATATGATTAGGACAGGGACACAGGAATGCAGACTATACGATTTATATTAATGAGGTTACAAGGCAGTTCTAAGGAGCCACAAGCTTTATGAAAACGTCTAGGATGAAGCATTAAAACCCCAGATTGGATGCCAGTTGGTAACACTGTAAATGCATCATGCATGAACAGCTGACTGACTACTAATGGTAATCAAACTAATGTTGTTATGCACATGTGTCTTTGTAGAAAATGCCCTGCGTAGCCTGTTGGAGGCGCTGACGAGTCCTCCCTACGCTCCCATGCAGCACCTGGAGAGAGAGCAGGCCCTGGCCAAACAGTTCGCTGAGATACTCCACTTTACCCTCAGCTTCGACGAACTAAAAGTGAGGAGGAGAGGAGGGAGGGAGGGAGGGTAGGAGAGGAGGGAGGGAGGGAGGGAGGGAGGGAGGGAGGGAGGGATGGGAGGGAGGGAGGAAGGGAGGGAGGGAGGGTGGGAGTAATCTCGGTTAACCCACAACTAAAATCTTGCGTAATTTGGTCAGATACCATTTATGTTTCCATAATATTAGGGATTATTTTACATTTACATTATTTAGCAGACGCTCTTATCCAGAGCAATTAGGGTTAAGTGCCTTGCTCAAGGGCACATCGACAGATTTTTCACCTAGTTGGCTCGGGGATTAGAACCAGCGACCTTTCGGTTACTGGCACAACGCTCTTAACCACTAAGCTACCGATTATCCCTTACCTATACCCTTGTTTTACCTACAGTGCCTTGCAAAAGTATTCAATCCCCCTTGGCGTTTTTCCTATTTTGTTGCAGTACAACCTGTAATTTAAATGGATTTTTATTTGGATTTCATGTAATGGACATACACAAAATAGTCCAAATTGGTGAAGTGAAATGAAAAAAATAACTTGTTTCAAAAAATTCTAAAACATAAATAACGGAAAAGTGGTGCGTGCATATGTATTCACCCCCTTTGCTATGAAGCCCCTAAATAAGATCTGGTGCAACCAATTACCTTCAGGAGTCACATAATTAGTTAAATAAAGTCCATCCTGTTTGCAATCTAAGTGTCACATGATCTGTCACATGATCTCAGTATATATACACCTGTTCTGAAAGGCCCCAGAGTCTGCAACACCACTAAGCAAGCGGCACCACCAAGCAAGCGGCACCATGAAGACCAAGGAGCTCTCCAAACAGGTCATGGACAAAGTTGTGGAGAAGTACAGATCAGGGTTGGGTTATAAAAAAATATCCGAAACTTTGAACATCCCACGGAGCACCATTAAATCCATTATAAAAAAATTGAAAGAATATGGCACCACAACAAACCTGCCAAGAGAGGGCCACCCACCAAAATTCACGGACCAGGCAAGGAGGGCATTAATCAGAGAGGCAACAAAGAGACCAAAGATAACCCTGAAGGAGCTGCAAAGCTCCACAGCGGAGATTGGAGTATCTGTCCATAGGACCACTTTAAGCCGTACACTCCACAGAGCTGGGCTTTACAGAAGAGTGGCCAGAAAAAAGCCATTGCTTAAAGAAAAAATAAGCAAACACGTTTGGTGTTCGCCAAAAGCCATGCGGGAGACTCCCCAAACATATGGAAGAAGGTACTGTGGTCAGATGAGACTAAAATTTAGCTTTTTTGCCATCAAGGAAAACGCTATATCTGGCGCAAACCCAACACCTCTCATCACCCCGAGAACACCATCCCCACAGTGAAGCTTGGTGGTGGCAGCATCATGCTGTGGGGATGTTTTCCATCGGCAGGGACTGGGAAACTGGTCAGAATTGAAGAAATTATGGTGCTAAATACAGGGAAATTCTTGAGGGAAACCCGTTTCAGTCTTCCAGAGATTTGAGACTGGGACGGAGGTTCACCTTCCAGCAGGACAATGACCCTAAGCATACTGCTAAAGCAACACTTGAGTGGTTTAAGGGGAAACATTTAAATGTCTTGGAATGGCCTAGTCAAAGCCCAGACCTCAATCCAATTGAGAATCTGTGGTATGACTTAAAGATTGCTGTACACCAGCGGAACCCATCCAACTTGAAGGAGCTGGAGCAGTTTTGCCTTGAAGAATAGGCAAAAATCCCAGTGGCTAGATGTGCCAAGTTTATAGAGAAATACCCCAAGAGACTTGCAGCTGTAATTGCTGCAAAAGGTGGCTCTACAAAGTATTGACTTTGGGGGGGGGGGGGGGGGGGGTGACATAGTTATGCACGCTCAAGTTTTCAGTTTTTTTGTCTTATTGTCTTGTTTTGGTTCACAATAAAAATATGTTGCTTCTTCACAGTGTTGGCATTTTGAGTAAATTATACAAACCCCCCAAAAAATCGATTTAATTCCAGGTTGTAACGCAACACAAATAGGACAAATGCAATGGGGGGTGAATAACTTTCGCAATACTTCTATACCCCCTCGTCTTACCCTAGACCCTCTTCTATACCCTATTCTATGTCCTGTTGTGTTGTGAATGACCAGACAGACCTGAAGATTGGGATTTGTACCTTCAGTGGGACACTAGGTCATCTTTGGAGTCTAAAGTACTGTGTTTTCACTGCACTGATTCTAGCCACTGTCTCTCTCTCTCGCCCGCTAACCCAGTTACACCTCCCAAATACTCTCACGCGTCAGGGAACAGAGACAACTAAAGACCACCTCCCCCTCAGAGCCCTCGATCCCGCCCGAAAACAAAAGAAGTAACCGCAATTCCGTCCAAGCGGGAACTGGCAAACACCCAAGTAATCGGACCAGCCCTCCCCCACATTCATGCATCCCCTCCCAGCCACCTCTCCCCTCGCCTCTCCTCTTCCCCCATCTCTCTCCCCATCTCCCTCTCTCCCACCCCTCCCCCTCTCTCCCTCCCCTCCCCTTCTCTCCCTCCCCTCCCCTTCTCTCCTCCCCTCCCGCTCTCCCTCCCCTCCATCTCTCTCTCCAGATGACAAACCCAGCCATTCAGAATGACTTCAGCTACTACAGGAGGACCATCAGTAGGAACAGGCTGAACAACCAGCAGGTAAGACCATTAGTAGGAACAGGCTGAACAACCAGCAGGTAAGGCCATTAGTAGGAACAGGCTGAACAACCAGCAGGTAAGAACAGGCTGAACAACCAGCAGGTGAGGCCATCAGTAGGAACAGGCTGAACAACCAGCAGGTAAGACCATGTTGGCCTGTGCTAAATTGGTGCCGTAACCTAGATCACTTGGCTAATCTGTCAGATGTAGTGTATTAAAGATTATGACTTTCTTAATGGAACCAGAGGATGTTTATCTTAGTTCAAAAGTAGCCGTTTGTAGGGTGACGCCCCAGGGGAGACCGGTGATTGGACCGCAGAGGGAGAAACCCATATTTTCACATTGTTTATAAGTATATGCTGGGGGCACAGGAAAGCAGAGCAGCCATCACAATTCGAGGACACTGCTCTCCGGGGGATCTTGACTCCTGTAACTTATGCTGAAGCTTGTGATATGAATAAACCTTATGATCCAAGTTCAGTATGAGCAGACTCCTTTGTTTATCAGCAATAATTGCCAGCATTCACCCGATACGACACAGACAGTTGCTAGGGTAACAGTGTTCATTGCCAACTGTTACCATAGTCACCTGTGAAAAAGCTAAAGGCTCAAAAAATCTACTAATCAACACATAGTCCAGTGTTTACTCTCTGTGTAGATGTTGAATGAATTGCAGACAGGAAAAGCATCAAATGAAGTCACATTCGATGACTTGAAGATACACAACAAGTCAAGTGGAATCCTGAGCCAAGCATGCAAATGTTGCCTTGCTCTAACCAATCTCTCTCTGCTGCAGTTGGAGGCGGAGAACGAGGTGAACAATGAGATGGCCAATCGGATGTCTTTGTTCTACGCCGAGGCCACACCCATGCTGAAGACCCTGAGTAACGCCACCACCAAGTTTGTGTCAGAGGTCAGTCAGTCAGTCATGACCCCTGCCCCCTAGTTCTACTTCCTCCCTTTGTGTCAGAGGTCAGTCAGAAGTCATGACCCCTGACCCCTTGTTCTACTTCCTCCCTCTAGCTCTTACTCTTGCCCAGCTCCAGCTCCTGCCCCTTAAAACAGGAGCCTACCACAAGCCTCTACTCAAATCTACCAGCCCAAGCCACCCTATACCAACCCTCTACTCAAATCTACCAGCCCAAGCCACCCTATACCAACCCTCTACTCAAATCTACCAGCCCAAGTCACCCTAAACCAACCCTCTACTCAAATCTACCAGCCCAAGTCACCCTATACCAACCCTCTACTCAAATCTACCAGCCCAAGTCACCCTATACCAACCCTCTACTCAAATCTACCAGCCCAAGTCACCATATACCAACCCTCTACTCAAATCTACCAGCCCAAGTCACCCTAAACCAACCCTCTACTCAAATCTACCAGCCCAAGTCACCCTATACCAACCCTCTACTCAAATCTACCAGCCCAAGTCACCCTATACCAACCTTCTACTCAAATCTACCAGCCCAAGTCACCCTATACCAACCCTCTACTCAAATCTACCAGCCCAAGTCACCCTATACCAACCCTCTACTCAAATCTACCACCCCAAGTCACCCTATACCAACCCTCTACTCAAATCTACCAGCCCAAGCCACCCTATACCAACCCTCTACTCAAATCTACCAGCCCAAGTCACCCTATACCAACCCTCTACTCAAATATACCAGCCCAAGTCACCCTATACCAACCCTTTACTCAAATCTACCACCCCAAGTCACCCTATACCAACCCTCTACTAATAGATACCACCCCAAGTCACCCTATACCAACCCTCTACTAATAGATACCAGCCCAAGTCACCCTTTACTAGTCTCTACTAATAGATACCACCCCAAGTCACCCTTTACTAGTCTCTACTAATAGATACCAGCCCAAGTCACCCTTTACTAGTCTCTACTAATAGATACCACCCCAAGTCACCCTTTACTAGTCTCTACTAATAGATACCACCCCCAAGTCACCCTATACTAGCCTCTACTAATAGATACCACCCCAAGTCACCCTATACCAAACCCTCTACTAATAGATACCAGCCCAAGTCACCCTTTACTAGTCTCTACTAATAGATACCACCCCAAGTCACCCTTTACTAGTCTCTACTAATAGATACCAGCCCAAGTCACCCTTTACTAGTCTCTACTAATAGATACCACCCCAAGTCACCCTTTACTAGTCTCTACTAATAGATACCACCCCAAGTCACCCTTTACTAGTCTCTACTAATAGATACCACCCCAAGTCACCCTTTACTAGTCTCTACTAATAGATACCATCCCAAGTCACCCTATACCAGCCTCTACTAATAGATACCACCCCAAGTCACCCTTTACTAGTCTCTACTAATAGATACCACCCCAAGTCACCCTTTACTAGTCTCTACTAATAGATACCAGCCCCAAGTCCACCCTTTACTAGTCTCTACTAATAGATACCACCCCAAGTCACCCTTTACTAGTCTCTACTAATAGATACCAGCCCCCAAGTCACCCTTTACTAGTCTCTATAATAGATACCACCCCAAGTCACCCTTTACTAGTCTCTACTAATAGATACCACCCCCAAGTCACCCTTTACTAGTCTCTACTAATAGATACCATGCCAAGTCACCCTTTACTAGTCTCTACTAATAGATACCACGCCAAGTCACCCTTTACTAGTCTCTACTAATAGATACCACCCCAAGTCACCCTTTACTAGTCTCTACTAATAGATACCACACCAAGTCACCCTTTACTAGTCTCTACTAATAGATACCAGCCCAAGTCACCCTTTACTAGTCTCTACTAATAGATACCACGCCAAGTCACCCTTTACTAGTCTCTACTAATAGATACCACCCCAAGTCACCCTTTACTAGTCTCTACTAATAGATACCACCCCAAGTCACCCTATACCAACCCTCTACTCAAATCTACCAGCCCAAGTCACCCTATACCAACCCTCTACTCAAATCTACCAGCCCAAGTCACCCTATACCAACCCTCTACTCAAATCTACCACCCCCAAGTCACCCTATACCAACCCTCTACTCAAATCTACCAGCCCAAGCCACCCTATACCAACCTCTACTCAAATCTACCAGCCCAAGTCACCCTATACCAACCCTCTACTCAAATCTACCAGCCCAAGTCACCCTATACCAACCCTCTACTCAAATCTACCAGCCCAAGTCACCCTATACCAACCCTCTACTCAAATCTACCAGCCCAAGTCACCCTATACCAACCCTCTACTCAAATCTACCACCCCAAGTCACCCTATACCAACCCTCTACTCAAATCTACCAGCCCAAGCCACCCTATACCAACCCTCTACTCAAATCTACCAGCCCAAGTCACCCTATACCAACCCTCTACTCAAATATACCAGCCCAAGTCACCCTATACCAACCCTTTACTCAAATCTACCACCCCAAGTCACCCTATACCAACCCTCTACTAATAGATACCACCCCAAGTCACCCTATACCAACCCTCTACTAATAGATACCAGCCCAAGTCACCCTTTACTAGTCTCTACTAATAGATACCACCCCAAGTCACCCTTTACTAGTCTCTACTAATAGATACCAGCCCAAGTCACCCTTTACTAGTCTCTACTAATAGATACCACCCCAAGTCACCCTTTACTAGTCTCTACTAATAGATACCACCCCAAGTCACCCTATACTAGCCTCTACTAATAGATACCACCCCAAGTCACCCTATACCAACCCTCTACTAATAGATACCAGCCCAAGTCACCCTTTACTAGTCTCTACTAATAGATACCACCCCAAGTCACCCTTTACTAGTCTCTACTAATAGATACCACCCCAAGTCACCCTTTACTAGTCTCTACTAATAGATACCACCCCAAGTCACCCTTTACTAGTCTCTACTAATAGATACCACCCCAAGTCACCCTTTACTAGTCTCTACTAATAGATACCACCCCAAGTCACCCTTTACTAGTCTCTACTAATAGATACCATCCCAAGTCACCCTATACCAGCCTCTACTAATAGATACCACCCCAAGTCACCCTTTACTAGTCTCTACTAATAGATACCACCCCAAGTCACCCTTTACTAGTCTCTACTAATAGATACCAGCCCAAGTCACCCTTTACTAGTCTCTACTAATAGATACCACCCCAAGTCACCCTTTACTAGTCTCTACTAATAGATACCAGCCCCAAGTCACCCTTTACTAGTCTCTACTAATAGATACCACCCCAAGTCACCCTTTACTAGTCTCTACTAATAGATACCACCCCAAGTCACCCTTTACTAGTCTCTACTAATAGATACCATGCCAAGTCACCCTTTACTAGTCTCTACTAATAGATACCACGCCAAGTCACCCTTTACTAGTCTCTACTAATAGATACCACCCCAAGTCACCCTTTACTAGTCTCTACTAATAGATACCACCCCAAGTCACCCTTTACTAGTCTCTACTAATAGATACCAGCCCAAGTCACCCTTTACTAGTCTCTACTAATAGATACCACGCCAAGTCACCCTTTACTAGTCTCTACTAATAGATACCACCCCAAGTCACCCTTTACTAGTCTCTACTAATAGATACCACCCCAAGTCACCCTTTACTAGTCTCTACTAATAGATACCAGCCCAAGTCACCCTTTACTAGTCTCTACTAATAGATACCACGCCAAGTCACCCTTTACTAGTCTCTACTAATAGATACCACCCCAAGCCACCCTATACTAGCCTCTACTAATAGCTACCACCCCAAGCCACCCTATACTAGCCTCACCACACCCCAAGCCACCCTATACTAGCCTCACCACACCCCAAGCCACCACCAGTTTGAATGAGATGAGGCTCGAAGACCTGCGCCACGTTCAGTAGCCAAACGTTGTTGAGCGCTGCAGATAGAAATGCCATGAATAGAGCAGACATGTCAGAGAAGCATGTTTGTTCTACAGTACATAGCATATTTCTATATGAATGTTGGCCAACGTTGTCTCTTGCTAAATGAGCGCCTGGTTCCATTTCAGTCTGTGGGCACTTGCATTAGCCCATATCTGGCTTTCAGTTTCTGACAATACTGACACTTTTGTCTAGTGACATTCTAGTGACTACACCATTACCACAGCCTGGAAATGGGTTTCGTCCCCCCCCCAGGGGCCAGTACTGGTATTTACTCTCTGTCCCCCCCCCCAGGGGCCAGTACTGGTATTTACTCTCTGTCTCCCCCTGCTGTCCGTGTTGCAGAATAAGACCTTACCCATTGAAGACACCACAGACTGCCTGAGCACCATGGCCTGTGTGTGTCGCGTCATGCTGGAGACCCCGTGAGTAGACCTCTGCTCTCTTTCTCTAGTCCTGTATTTTTCAATCCCTCTCTCTACATTCTTACATTTTAGTCATTTAGCAGACGCTCTTATCCAGAGCGACTTACAGTTAGTGAGTGCATACCTTTTTTAATACATTCTCTCCATCTTTTACTCCACCTCTTTCTTACTGTCTCTCTGTGCTGTGTGAGTACCTCTTATCTTTATCTTATTTGTTTTGTTAAAAAAAAAATAATAATCCCACAATGACTCTCCCCATGTCAAGTCAATTTAACTCCTGAGAATCAACTTCTTGCTCAAAGCCATGAGCGGACCTGTGGCCGTGACGTCTCCAAGCCATGAGCGGGCCTGTGGCTGTGACGTCTCCAAGCCATGAGCGGGCCTGTGACTGTGACGTCTCCAAGCCATGAGCGGGCCTGTGACTGTGACGTCTCCAAGCCATGAGCGGGCCTGTGGCTGTGACGTCTCCATGCGATGAGCGGGCCTGTGGCTGTGACGTCTCCAAGCCATGAGCGGGCCTGTGGCTGTGACGTCTCCAAGCCATGAGCGGGCCTGTGGCTGTGACGTCTCCAAGCCATGAGCGGGCCTGTGGCTGTGACGTCTCCAAGCCATGAGCGGACCTGTGGCTGTGACGTCTCCAAGCCATGAGCGGGCCTGTGGCTGTGACGTCTCCAAGCCATGAGCGGGCCTGTGGCTGTGACGTCTCCAAGCCATGAGCGGGCCTGTGGCCGTGACGTCTCCAAGCCATGAGCGGACCTGTGGCTGTGACGTCTCCAAGCCATGAGCGGACCTGTGGCTGTGACGTCTCCAAGCCATGAGCGGGCCTGTGGCTGTGACGTCTCCAAGCCATGAGCGGGCCTGTGGCTGTGACGTCTCCAAGCCATGAGCGGACCTGTGGCTGTGACGTCTCCAAGCCATGAGCGGACCTGTGGCTGTGACGTCTCCAAGCCATGAGCGGGCCTGTGGCGTGACGTCTCCAGCCATGAGCGGGCCTGTGGCTGTGACGTCTCCAAGCCATGAGCGGGACCTGTGGCTGTGACGTCTCCAAGCCATGAGCGGACCTGTGGCTGTGACGTCTCCAAGCCATGAGCGGACCTGTGGCTGTGACGTCTCCAAGCCATGAGCGGGCCTGTGGCTGTGACGTCTCCAAGCCATGAGCGGACCTGTGGCTGTGACGTCTCCAAGCCATGAGCGGACCTGTGGCTGTGACGTCTCCAAGCCATGAGCGGGCCTGTGGCTGTGATGTCTCCAAGCCATGAGCGGGCCTGTGGCTGTGACGTCTCCAAGCCATGAGCGGGCCTGTGGCTGTGACGTCTCCAAGCCATGAGCGGGCCTGTGGCTGTGACGTCTCCAAGCCATGAGCGGGCCTGTGGCTGTGACGTCTCCAAGCCATGAGCGGGCCTGTGGCTGTGACGTCTCCAAGCCATGAGCGGGCCTGTGGCTGTGACGTCTCCAAGCCATGAGCGGGCCTGTGGCTGTGACGTCTCCAAGCCATGAGCGGGCCTGTGGCTGTGACGTCTCCAAGCCATGAGCGGACCTGTGGCTGTGACGTCTCCAAGCCATGAGCGGGCCTGTGGCGTCTCCAAGCCATGAGCGGACCTGTGGCTGTGACGTCTCCAAGCCATGAGCGGACCTGTGGCTGTGACGTCTCCAAGCCATGAGCGGGCCTGTGGCTGTGACGTCTCCAAGCCATGAGCGGGCCTGTGGCTGTGACGTCTCCAAGCCATGAGCGGGCCTGTGGCTGTGACGTCTCCAAGCCATGAGCGGGCCTGTGGCTGTGACGTCTCCAAGCCATGAGCGGACCTGTGGCTGTGACGTCTCCAAGCCATGAGCGGGCCTGTGGCTGTGACGTCTCCAAGCCATGAGCGGACCTGTGGCTGTGACGTCTCCAAGCCATGAGCGGGCCTGTGGCTGTGACGTCTCCAAGCCATGAGCGGACCTGTGGCTGTGACGTCTCCAAGCCATGAGCGGACCTGTGGCTGTGACGTCTCCAAGCCATGAGCGGGCCTGTGGCTGTGCCGTCTCCAAGCCATGAGCGGGCCTGTGGCTGTGACGTCTCCAAGCCATGAGCGGGCCTGTGGCTGTGACGTCTCCAAGCCATGAGCGGGCCTGTGGCTGTGACGTCTCCAAGCCATGAGCGGGGCCTGTGGCTGTGACGTCTCCAAGCCATGAGCGGACCTGTGGCTGTGACGTCTCCAAGCCATGAGCGGGCCTGTGGCTGTGACGTCTCCAAGCCATGAGCGGGCCTGTGGCTGTGACGTCTCCAAGCCATGAGCGGGCCTGTGGCTGTGACGTCTCCAAGCCATGAGCGGGCCTGTGGCCGTGACGTCTCCAAGCCATGAGCGGGCCTGTGGCCGTGACGTCTCCAAGCCATGAGCGGGACCTGTGGCCGTGACGTCTCCAAGCCATGAGCGGGCCTGTGGCCGTGACGTCTCCAAGCCATGAGCGGGCCTGTGGCCGTGACGTCTCCAAGCCATGAGCGGGCCTGTGGCCGTGACGTCTCCAAGCCATGAGCGGGCCTGTGGCCGTGACGTCTCCAAGCCATGAGCGGGCCTGTGGCTGTGACGTCTCCAAGCCATGAGCGGGCCTGTGGCTGTGACGTCTCCAAGCCATGAGCGGGCCTGTGGCTGTGACGTCTCCAAGCCATGAGCGGGCCTGTGGCTGTGACGTCTCCAAGCCATGAGCGGGCCTGTGGCTGTGACGTCTCCAAGCCATGAGCGGACCTGTGGCTGTGACGTCTCCAAGCCATGAGCGGGCCTGTGGCTGTGACGTCTCCAAGCCATGAGCGGACCTGTGGCTGTGACGTCTCCAAGCCATGAGCGGGCCTGTGGCTGTGACGTCTCCAAGCCATGAGCGGACCTGTGGCTGTGACGTCTCCAAGCCATGAGCGGACCTGTGGCTGTGACGTCTCCAAGCCATGAGCGGGCCTGTGGCTGTGCCGTCTCCAAGCCATGAGCGGGCCTGTGGCTGTGACGTCTCCAAGCCATGAGCGGGCCTGTGGCTGTGACGTCTCCAAGCCATGAGCGGGCCTGTGGCTGTGACGTCTCCAAGCCATGAGCGGGCCTGTGGCTGTGACGTCTCCAAGCCATGAGCGGACCTGTGGCTGTGACGTCTCCAAGCCATGAGCGGGCCTGTGGCTGTGACGTCTCCAAGCCATGAGCGGGCCTGTGGCTGTGACGTCTCCAAGCCATGAGCGGGCCTGTGGCTGTGACGTCTCCAAGCCATGAGCGGGCCTGTGGCTGTGACGTCTCCAAGCCATGAGCGGGCCTGTGGCCGTGACGTCTCCAAGCCATGAGCGGACCTGTGGCCGTGACGTCTCCAAGCCATGAGCGGGCCTGTGGCCGTGACGTCTCCAAGCCATGAGCGGGCCTGTGGCCGTGACGTCTCCAAGCCATGAGCGGGCCTGTGGCCGTGACGTCTCCAAGCCATGAGCGGACCTGTGGCTGTGACGTCTCCAAGCCATGAGCGGACCTGTGGCTGTGACGTCTCCAAGCCATGAGCGGACCTGTGGCTGTGACGTCTCCAAGCCATGAGCGGGCCTGTGGCTGTGACGTCTCCAAGCCATGAGCGGGCCTGTGGCTGTGACGTCTCCAAGCCATGAGCGGACCTGTGGCTGTGACGTCTCCAAGCCATGAGCGGGCCTGTGGCTGTGACGTCTCCAAGCCATGAGCGGGCCTGTGGCTGTGACGTCTCCAAGCCATGAGCGGACCTGTGGCTGTGACGTCTCCAAGCCATGAGCGGGCCTGTGGCTGTGACGTCTCCAAGCCATGAGCGGGCCTGTGGCTGTGACGTCTCCAAGCCATGAGCGGGCCTGTGGCTGTGACGTCTCCAAGCCATGAGCGGGCCTGTGGCTGTGACGTCTCCAAGCCATGAGCGGGCCTGTGGCTGTGACGTCTAGCCTTCTGCTAAGGCTCTTCTGAATACTCTGGCTGAAGCGTCTCGTTTTATTCTTCATTTTGAGTGTTAACCTGGGTGTCCTCTGTAGCCTTGTCTACATTGCTTGCTGCCACCAAATGCGCCTTGGTTCAGGCATGTCCAAAAACCTTTTTTTTTCCTGAAGGCTCTTTGCTGTTGTTGTTTTTTTTAACGTCTGATGCATAGGATGTTAATTTACTGTCCATTCCACCCACTCTCTAGCTAGTTTAATCCCTCCAGTCGTTTCTAGACTGAAGCTCCCTATCTTTTTGCATGTTGCATGGGGCGGCAGGTAGCTTAGTGGGTAAGAGCGTTGTGCCAGTAACCAAAAGGTCGTTGGTTCTAATCCCCGAGCCGACTAGGTGAAAAATCTGTCGATGTGCCCTTAAGCAAGGCACTTAACCCTAATTGCTCCTGTAAAGTCGCTCTGGATAAGAGCGTCTGCTAAATGACTAATGTAATGTAAATGTACAGCCCAACTTTGAATTTTGCATGACAAGCCAGGGGTTATACGTTTGCTTGTTCTTGAACTGCAAATTGCACCAGCTCCGAGCACTTCGTCGGTGGAGGCAGTGCCCCCCCCCCCATCCCCCGGCTCCCCGTCTCCCTCTCCCGTTGAGTCTGACTCGCTAGTAGGCCTACTAGCTAGTGAAGGTACCGGTGGTGGTGCTCAACTGGCGGGATTAGTATCACCATCCGTTTGCCCCTGATGACTCTCTTCCGGCACTGACAGTTTTCTGGCTCGTTCTGGGTTCGATTCACCATCTTTCTCTGGATTTTTGGACTTGAAAAATGTCAAACTCGATTGCCTTTTCTTATCAATTTTCTATTTTGTCTTTCCCACGATTCAAATTCAGTAGGGAGACAACTACACTAGGCTACGTGACGTGATTACGTAGGGACCTCTTCACTACCTGACCACCACTACCAAGACCTGTGTCAAGATCAGTTACTTACCCCACTGGCCCGCCCCATAACCCCTATGTACAAATAAGAGAGCAGGTCTGGAATCAGTGTGGCAGGATAGGATGACTACAGAGAAGGATCACCGTGCTTTTACATGATGGTCTTTCTGGGGGGGGCGAGAGAAATAACTAGGAGGCAACTTGATTTAACGCTGATCCCTTTTATTAGAATGTCTATAGTGAGAACAGTGAAATAATTAATAAATCATGCAGCGAGAGGTACCAGATCTGGGCAAATAGGTGCCTGATCTGTACTTCTCCAAGTCAAATCTGAGAGGTGCCGGATCCTTTTCCGGCAGGATCCACCTCAAATTAAGCACTGGCTTATGTCACGTTAAGTCATGTTAAGTTATGTTATGTCATGAAATGACCTTCAGGCCAAGTGCTGATTCGTTTTATTCTTTCTTTTAGCCCCTCTCTTTATCTATCCATATCCCCTGTCTCGCGCTCTGTCTCTCTCTCCATATCCCCTGTCTCGCGCTCTGTCTCTCTCTCCATATCCCCGTCTCGCGCTCTGTCTCTCTCTCCATATCCCCTGTCTCGCGCTCTGTCTCTCTCTCCATATCCCCCCTCTCGCGCTCTGTCTCTCTCCATATCCCCCCTCTCGCGCTCTGTCTCTCTCCATATCCCCTGTCTCGCTCTCTGTCTCTCTCTCCATATCCCCTGTCTCGCTCTCTGTCTCTCTCTCTCTATATCCCCGTCTCGCTCTCTGTCTCGCTCTCCATATCCCCTGTCTCGCTCTCCATATCCCCTGTCTCGCTCTCCATATCCCCTGTCTCGCTCTCCATATCCCCGTCTCGCTCTCTGTCTCTCTCTCCATATCCCCTGTCTCGCTCTCTGTCTCTCTCTCTCTATATCCCCCGTCTCGCTCTCTGTCTCGCTCTCCATATCCCCTGTCTCGCTCTCCATATCCCCGTCTCGCTCTCTGTCTCTCTCTCCATATCCCCGTCTCGCTCTCTGTCTCTCTCTCCATATCCCCGTCTCGCTCTCTGTCTCGCTCTCCATATCCCCTGTCTCTCTCTCCATATCCCCTGTCTCGCTCTCCATATCCCCGTCTCGCTCTCTGTCTCTCTCTCCATATCCCCTGTCTCGCTCTCTGTCTCTCTCTCCATATCCCCTGTCTCGCTCTCTGTCTCTCTCTCCATATCCCCTGTCTCGCTCGCTGTCTCTCTCTCTCTCTATATCCCCCGTCTCGCTCTCTGTCTCGCTCTCCATATCCCCTGTCTCTCTCTCCATATCCCGTCTCGCGCTCTGTCTCTCTCTCCATATCCCCTGTCTCGCTCTCTGTCTCTCTCTCTATATCCCCCGTCTCGCTCTCTGTCTCGCTCTCCATATCCCCCGTCTCGCTCTCTCTCTCAATTCAATTCAAAGGGCTTTATTGGCATGGGAATCATATGTTAAAATGGCCAAATCCAGTGAAATAGATAATAAACAAAAGTGAAATAAACAATAAAAAATGTAACAGTAAACATTACTCACAAAAGTGCAAATAGTTAAAGTACAAATGGGAAAATAATTAAACATAAATATGGGTTGTATTTACAATGATGTTTGTTCTTCACTGGTTGCCCTTTTCTTGTGGCAACAGGTCACACATCTTGCTGCTCTGATGGCACACTGTGGTATTTCACCCAGTAGATAAGGGAGTTTATCAAAATTGGGTTTGTTTTCAAATTTGTGGGTCTGTGTAATCTGAGGAAATATGTGTCTCTAATATGGTCATACATTTGGCAGGAAGTTAGGAAGTGCAGCTCAGTTTCCACCTCATTTTGTGGGCAGTGTGCACATAGCCTGTCTTCTCTTGAGAGCCAGCTCTCTCTCTCGCTCTCTCATCAATTTAATTAGCATTATTTGCATGATAACTCATTATAAACGTAATTATCCAAAAGAACATAGCGTCTTTAAGCTGATTAACAATCACTCTCTCTCCTCCCCCCTCCTCTCCCCCCTCTCTTTCTCTCCCCCACTCCCGTTCTCCTCCCTCTCTCTCCCCACCTCCCTCTCTCTCCCCACCTCCCTCTCTCTCCCCACCTCCCTCTCTCTCCCCACCTCTCTCTCCCCACCTCCCTCTCTCCATAGTGAGTACCGTTGTAGGTTCACCAACACAGACACCATGTTGTTCTGTATGCGGGTGATGGTGGGAGTAATCATCCTGTATGACCACGTCCACCCTGTAGGAGCCTTCGCCAAGACCTCCAAAATAGATGTAAGACACAAAAACACACACAAATATCCAGGTTTTTACTTTTATACGGCTTAAAATGCTGATTCTATCTGACCACACATGACCTTATGTCCTCCTGTAGGGGGGTTGAGGATCAGAGGGTAATGACCTTTCTCTAAAGATGTGTGTCTCTTTGGTGTGTCTGTATCTATCTGGTGTGTGTGTGTGTATGTGAGTACAGATGAAGGGCTGCATCAAGGTGCTGAAAGAGCAGCCGTCCAACAGCGTGGAGGGACTACTGAACGCACTGAGGTGAGGAGACATCAAGGGAGAGAAAGGGACACAGAGAGAGAGACAGAGAGACAGACAGAGACACAGAGAGACACGAGAGACACAGAGAGAGAGAGAGAGAGAGAGAGAGAGAGAGGAGAGAGAGAGAGAGAGAGGAGAGAGGGAGGAGAGGAGAGAGAGAGAGAGAGAGAGAGAGAGAGAGAGAGAGAGAGAGAGAGAGAGACACAGACAGACAGACAGACAGACAGACAGACAGACAGACAGACAGACAGACAGACAGACAGACAGACAGACAGACAGACAGACAGACACAACTACGACAACATAACTAACAAAAACGGATCTCAACTCCTGCAGCTCTGTTGGACGCTGGGTATGTACATAGTCAATGGTAGGCTTCGAGGGGACTCCTACGGTAGGTACACATATAGCTCATCTCTTGGCAGTAGTACTGCAGATTACTTTATCACTGACCTCAACCCAGAGTCTCTCAGAGCGTTCACGGTCAGCCCACTGACACCCCTATCAGATCACAGAAAAATCACAGTCTACTTGAACATAACAATACCCAATCATGAGGCATCAAAGCCAAAGGAACTGAATAATATTAAGAAATGCTATAGATGGAAGGAAAGTAGTGTGGAAACCTACCAAAAAACTATTAGGCAACAACAAATTAAAATCCCTTTTAGACAACTTCCTGGACGTTTTACTGTAATAGTGAAGGTGTAAACTTCGCAGTAGAAAACCTAAACAGTATATTTGACCTCTCAGCTTCCCTATCAAATAAAAAAATGTCATACAGAAAATGAACAACAATGACAAATGGTTTGATGAAGACTGCAAAAACCTAAGAAAGAAATTGAGAAACCTATCCAACCAAAACCCAGAAAACCTGAGCCTACGCCTTCACTATGGTGAATCACTAAAACAATAGAGAAATACACTACGGAAAAAGGAATAGCACGTCAGAAATCAGCTCAATGTAATTGAAGAATCCATAGACTCTAACCACTTCTGGGGAAATTGGAAAACACTAAACAAACAACAACACGAAGAGCTATCTATCCAAAACGGAGATGTATGGGTAAACCACTTCTCCAATCTTTTTGGCCCTATTTATTTTATATTTTACCTTTATTTAACTAGGCAAGTCAGTTAAGAACAAATTCTTATTTACAATGACGGCCTACACCGACCAAACCCGGACGATGCTGGGCCAATTGTGCGCCGCCCTATGGGACTCCCAATCACGGCCGGTTGTGATACAGCCTAGAATCGAACCAGGGGGTCTGTAGTGACGCCTCAAGCACTGAGATGCAGTGCCTTAGACCGCTGCGCCACTCGGGAGCCCGAGTTTTACCACTCGGGAGCCCGAGTTTTACCTGAATAGAACTAGCCTAAGCTACCGCCGGAGACACAACTCATGGAACAAACAGCAAAAACATATACATGATCAAATACAAATCTTAGAATCAACTATTAAAGACTACCAGAACCCACTAGATTCTCCAATTACATGTCGGCTCGGGGATTAGAACCAGCGACCTTTCGGTTACTGGCACAACGCTCTTAACCACTAAGCTACCTGCCGCCCCAAAACCAAAACAAAGGCAAAGTCTTCTCATGCTTTGTTGATTTAAAAAAAGCTTTTGACTCAATTTGGCATGAGGGTCTGCTATATAAATTGATGGAAAGCGGTGTTGGGGGGAAAAACATATGACATTATAAAATCCATGTACACAAACAACAAGTGTGCGGTAAAATTTGGTGAAAAACACACACATTTCTTTCCACAGGTCCGTGGGGTGAGACAGGGATGCAGCTTAAGCCCCACCCTCTTCAACATATATATCAATGAATTGGTGAGGGCACTAGAACAGTCTGCAGCACCCGGCCTCACCCTACTAGATACTGAAGTCAAATGTCTACTGTTTGCTGATGATCTGGTGCTTCTGTCCCCAACCAAGGAGGGCCTACAGCAGCACCTAGATCTTCTGCATAAATTCTGTCAGACCTGGGCCCTGACAGTAAATCTCAGTAAGACAGAAATAATGGTGTTCCAAAAAAGGTCCAGTTGCCAGAACCACAAATACAAATTCCATCTAGACACAGTTGCCCTAGAGCACACAAAAAACGATACATACCTCGGCCTAAACATCAGCGCCACAGGTAACTTCCACAAAGCTGTGAACGATCTGAGAGAAAAGGCAAGAAGGGCCTTCTACGCTATCAAAAGGAACATAACATTTACTTGAAAATCAGTTATAGAACAAATACTTGAATCAGTTATAGAACCCATTGCCCTTTATGGTTGTGAGGTCTGGGGTCCGCTCACCAACCAAGAATTCACAAAATGGGACAAACACTCTGCATGCAGAATTCTGCAAAAATATCCTCTGTGTACAACGTAAAACACTAAATAATGCATGCAGAGCAGAATTAGGCCGATACCCGCTAATTATCAAAATCCAGAAAAGAGCCGTTCAATTCTATAACCACTTAAAAGGAAGTGATTCCCAAACCTTCCATAATGAAGCCATCACCTACAGAGAGATGAACTTGGAGAAGAGTCCCCTAAGTAAGCTGGTCCTGGGGCTCTGTTCACAAACACAAACAGACCCCACAGAGCCCCAGGACAACAACACAATTAGACCCAACCAAATCATGAGAAAAAAAAAGATAATTGCTTGACACATTGGGAAGAATTAACAAAAAAAACAGAGCAAACTAGAATGCTATTTGGCCCTAAACAGAGAGTACACAGTGGCAGAATACCTGACCACTGTGACTGACCCAAACTAAAGGAAGCTTTGACTATGTACAGACTCAGTGAGCATAGCCTTGCTATTGAGAAAGGCTGCCATAGGCAGACCTGGCTCGCAAGAGAAGACAGGCTATGTGCACACTGCCCACAAAGTGAGATGGAAACTGAGCAGCACTTCCTGCCAAATGTATGACCATATTAAAGACACATATTTCCCTCAGATTACAGCGATCCACAAAGAATTAGAAAACAAACCCAATTTTGATAAACTCCCTTATCTACTGGGTGAAAAACCACAGTGTGCAATCACAGCAGCAAGATTTGTGACCTGTTGCCACAAGAAAAGGGCAACCAGTGAAGAACAAACACCATTGTAAATACAACCCATATTTATGTTTATTTATTTTCCCTTTTGTACTTTAACTATTTTGGAACTTTTGTGAGTGTAATGTTTACTGTTAATATTTATTGTTTATTTCACTTTGGTTTATTATCTACTTCACTTGCTTTGGCAATGTTAACATATGATTCCCATGCCAATAGAGAGAGAGAGAGAGAGAGACTCATACTCATGTATCTTTCTCCTCCCATCCTCTTCCTCTCCAGGTATACGACCCGACATCTAAACGACGACAGCACCTCCAAACAAATCAGGGCTCTTCTCCAATGAGAGTGGGAGGAGCAGAGAGAGAGAGAGAGAGGGAAGGAAGGAGAGAGAGCGCACATGGAGGGAGATGAAGAAGAACGAGTGACTGTGGTGGCTGAATCCCGTTTGTTTACAAGAATGCAAAGCAAAATGATCAGGTCTGATGATGTGAGGAAAATAACAAGTCTGTCTCATTTTGTAAAAAATAAAAATGAAGGAAGAGAATCTATAGAGATATATATGAAAGAGAAAACTAGCGAAACACAATAAAACGAAACAAGTGCTACCAGATGGAAATATGACTAAAGAAGAAGATCAAGGAGGAAAAAGCTCAATTAGAAAAAATCTACGGTCAGGAAACAAAACTGGAACAAAAACAAAACTGAAAAATAAACACAAAAAGTTCTGTGCAACAACGTTAGTCTGAAAAATATTTGTTGCACTTGCGTAGAATATAAACAGCGCTATCTGTCAGTCTCCAAGTACTTCAGCTCTTTCACATCAATGCAGATTAAGGAAAAGGGGATAAAGGAGACATGGAGGGGAACATATTTTAGTGTATTGACATGCGCCCAGACACTCCATTTAGATTCTAACGCTGTTTCCTCATCATACACCCCCCACCCCACCCACTTGCATCGTAACCATGGGAACTGTGGGTGTTCTTGGCACTAGTATGCAATGCTATGCCGTAAATGGAGTTTTTGAAGAATTATGGTGATTCAGACCTCTTTATGGTGCTAAAATATTTTAAATTATCCACGTAAAAGCGTACACAACGTTTCATACACCTAGTGCCAAAGCTATTGAATCATCAGCAGGTGAGGATTGGGTTACAAGCAGGTGAGGATTGGGTTAAGGAGACACTGACTGCTAGCCTCGTTACACCACTTGACATCTATCTTTAGGGGGTCCGAAAGGATCCAGGACATCAAAGTCTATTGCTCCAATCCCAACACAGCCAACCAGCCATCAGTAAGACATTCTGTACATTGTGAAAGAAAAGACTATCATCTTCAGTGTGCCATCTTGGATGTTTTGGGCAGGGGCGCAACTTTCACAGGGCACATTCTAAAATGTCATTTTTGTTTTCCCCCCCCCCCAGTTTTATCATTGGAATGTGATACAAAACAAGGCTATGGTGTGCTTTAGGACCATGCGGACGCCTCCGAGCGGTCGGGTAGGCTGTTTGGAGTGTTTATCTGACTGGATAAAAAAATATATAGATATAATTATAATTATGTCCCCCCCACTTCTAAAACCAAAGTTGCGCCCCTGGTTTTGGGGAATATTCTATTGAAACATAAAGAGAAGGGCAGAGACAAGCCTATCAGGGAGGGACTAAGACAGCTTCATAATAAGAGGATATATAAATAAATGCACACAGACACACACAGGCAGAGTCATTAGATCACTCAGAGAGTCGCAGTGTAAATAAGTGAGCGAGCGGAGTCTTTTCTCATCAGGCATCAATAAGGCCAGCTCAGGTCCTCCCAGGATAAAATACAACAACAACAATAACCCACGTGCTTATGATCCACTAGAGAGTTCTTCTTTTAGTATGAGGCAAATAAACAATTAAAGTCATTGAATAAGTGGGTATTGAAAATAAATAAGTTAAAAAGGAGATTTTTAAAAGGCAGTGCTGTACTTTCCATGTCTATAGACCTTAGTCTAACGTCATTTGATCTTTTGAATATATTTTCTATACAGGGGTATGTGGCACAAGCATATTCTGTATAAATATATAGATGGCATGTTGTAAAAGTTCTGACAAAAATGTGTACATAAAGGTGTTTTTATTCATTTTTAATTGTTCAGTGAAGCTGAAATTGGGTTTGTGTTGTCTCTCTCAGAAATCCCATGGCTTGGCTTGGACTATTGGACTTGCCGTAGTGAGTCATAGGTTTCAAAAAAATTCCAACTTCATCTTCGCGAATGAAACGGCGGGAGGGGCGGGACTAGAGGGGAGCTGTCCATTTGCTTGTTATTTTGTACATTTTGTGCAACAATAAAACTGTGTCATTTATTACATTCAACCAATGAGGTGTGGTGTCTATGTCTGACTCATTATTAGTAGGATGACCTTCATTTGACCTTTGAAAATTCAAATTAAGGACAACAGAGTTCCATATGTGATATTGGATATTTTGTGATATTTTTCACTCCAATGAACACATAAGGGGATGCGTCCCAAAATGGCACCCTATTTCCTACATAGTGCACTACTTTTGACCGGAGCCCCTATCAGCCCTGGTCAAAAGTAGTGCACTATATAGGAAATAGGGTGCCATTTGGGACACATTGGAGGTGTGTCTGATCAGTGATCACTCTACTACCTCTCAGTAACTAAATAAACTCCCACAGAAAAAATTTAACTCAAGCAAAACAGCCTCCACTGATATTTTACATTTACGTCATTTAGCAGACACTCTTATCCAGAGCGACTTACAAATTGGTGCATTCACCTTATAGCCAGTGGGATAACCACTTTACAATGTTTTTGTTGTTTTTTTTTGGGGGGGGGGGGGGTAGAAGGATGACTTTATCCTATCCCAGGTATTCCTTAAAGAGGTGGGGTTTCAAATGTCTCCGGAAGGTGGTGAGTGACTCCGCTGTCCTGGCGTCGTGAGGGAGCTTGTTCCACCATTGGGGTGCCAGAGCAGCGAACAGTTTTGACTGATATCTGGTAGTGATCTATAACAGTCCAATGTTTGTAGTTTAAATAAACAAACGATCCCTTTAGGGAATCTGCAACAGTGGCTGCTTTCCAAATGGAACCCTGTTCCATATCTAGTGCTCTACTTTCGAACAGGGCTCATAGGTCAAAAGTAGGAGACAGTGAGAGTTACAGTGGGCAGACCCTCTTTGCATTCTATTGCAACACCGTTACCCAATACTGTAGCGCTGCTAGTGCTGTCCATGCTGCTGGCTGGGAGGCGCTGCTGCTTACTGGGATTAGGACTGGGGATCTTAGAGTCAATCAGCTTCAGTTCTAGCTAACGTGTTGCTGTCTTGTCGGGCAATGATGAAGCGCTATTGAATGGTGAAACAGTGAGTCAGGCAGTCTGCAGGCCTCACTACGTAGTGACAGGGAAAGATTGGCACTATGCAATTAGACGGAAATGTGTCAGCTTGTTGCCTCCTGGATCAATTTCCTCCCTTGCAGTTCCCGATCAATGCCTCTGCAGTCACACTTCCCCATCTCACCAGAAGGGGGCTGCAGAGGACAAGAAACATGATCGTCCTATTTCACTACGCAGCACAGTAGATCACTACCTGTTGTATTGGAGGTGGTGGGAAAAGTACCCAACTGTCATACTTTAGTAAAAGTAAAGATACCTTAATAGAAAAGGACTCAGGTCAAATTTAAAGTCACCCAGTAAAATACTACTTGAGTAAAAGTCTAAAAGTATTTGGTTTTAAATATACTTAAGTATCAAAAGTAAAAGTATAAATCATTTCAAATTCCTTCTATTAAGCAAACCAGACGGCACCATTTTCTTTTCTTTTTTTAAATTTACGGATAGCCAGGGGGACACTCCAACATTCAGTCATCATTTACAAACTAAACATGTGTGTTTAGTGAATCCGCCAGATCAGAGGCAGTAGGGATGACCAGGGATGTTCTCTTGATAAGTACCTGAATTTGACAATTTGTTCGTCCTGCTAAGCATTCAAAATATAAATATAACGAGTACTTTTGGGTGTCAGGGAAAATGTATGGAGAGTAAGAATGTAGTGAAGTAAAACTAAAAATATAAATAGTAAAGTACAGATACAGTACCTCAAAAAAATACTTAAGTAGTACTTTAAAGTATTTCTACTTAAGTACTTTACACCACTGTGTATTGGTAGCTGACTACAAGCTTCAGGTGCAATTGAGATTAACTATACTGAACAAAAATATACCAAAGATTAACTACACTGAACAAAAATATACCAGAGACGAACTTTACTGAACAAAAATATACCAGAGATGAACAGGATCAGACCAGAGATGAACTATAAAGAACAAAAATATAAACTCAACATGTAAAGTGTAAAGTGCTGATCTCAGAAAATGTCCATATGCACAAAAAGCTTATTTCTCACAAATGTTGAGCAGAAATGTGTTTACATCCCTGTTAGTGAGAATTTCTTTGCCAAGATGATCCATCCACCTGACAGGTGTGGCATATCAAGAAGCTGATTAAACAGCATGATCATTACACAGATGCACCTTGTGCTGGGGACAATAAAATAACACTCTAAAATGTGCAGTTTTCACACACAACACAATGCCACAGATGTCTCAAGTTTTTAGGGCGCGTGCAATTGGCATGCTGACTGCAGGAATGTCCACCAGAGCTGTTCCCAGAGAATTGAATGTTCATTTCTCTACCATAAGCCGCCTCCAACGTCATTTTAGAGAATTTGATGCCATTCCACTCATTTCGCTCCAGCCATTACCACAAGCACGTCCTCCCCAATTAAGGTGCCACCAACCTCCTGTGGTCCAACCGGCCTCACAACCGCAGACCACGTGTAACCATGTCAGCCCAGGACCTCCACATCCGGCTTCTTCACCTGCGGGATCGTCTTAGTCGATCCACCCGGACAGCTGATGAAACTGTGGGTTTGGAATGTCTGCACAAACGGTCAGAAACCGTCTCAGGGAAGCTCATCTGCGTGCTGGTCATCCTCTCCTCTTGAGCTGACTGCAGGTTTGGCGTCATAAATGTACTCTTCATGGATGAATCCCTGTTTCAACTGTACCGGGGAGATGGCAGACAGCGTGTATGGCGTTGTGTGGGCGAGCGTTTTGCTGATGTCAACGTTGTGAACAGAGTGCCCCATGGTGGCAGTGGGGTTATGGTATGGGCAGGCATAAACTACGGACACACAATTGCATTTTATAGATGGTCATTTGAATACACAGAGATAACGTGATGAGATCCTGAAGCCTATTCCGGTGCCATTCATCCGCCGCCATCACCTCATGTTTCAGCATGATAATGCACGGCTCCATGTCGCAAGGATCTGTACACAATTCCTGGAAGCTGAAAATGTCCCAGTTCTTCCATGGCCTGCATACTCGCCAGACATGTCACCCATTGAGCATGTTTGGGATGCTCTGGATCAACGTCTACAACAGTGTGTTTCAGTTCCTGCCAATATCCAGCAACTTCGCACGGCCATTGAAGAGGAGTGGGAAAACATTTCACAGGCCACAACAGCCTGATCAACTGTATGCAAAGGAGATGTGTCGCACTGCATGAGGTAAATGGTGGTCACACCAGATACTAACTGGTTTTCTGATCCACGCCCCTACCTTTTTTAAAAGGTATCTGTGACCAACAGATGCATATCTGTATTCCCAGTCATGTGAAATCTATAGATTAGGGCCTAATTTATTCATTTCAATTGACTGGTTTCCTTATATGAACTATAACTCAGTCAAATCTTAGAAATTGTTGCATGTTGCGTTTATATTTTTGTTCAGTGTATGAAGGCAAATTCTACGTGTCTGTATTGTTTGTGCACATTTCATCTAATATCAACAAAATGCAATATACAAGAACTGTGAGCAATAGCAAAGAGGTCAAAATCATAATTCTCAATTCATGAGGTAAAATGTAGGCATCTACTTCCAAAGCTTATTTGAGTTCCCATCTTAGGAGGCATGTACGTGAGAGAGGTAGAGATGAGGCTGGGAAATAACTGGCAGTTTAAACTAGGACAAGGGGACAAAGGAGATGCTGTGTGAAGTTATATATGGAATAGCAAGCAGGCCAACATTTATCATTCCATAACACACACACATACATACATGACACAAAAAAAGGTCCCTTTGTGACAAAGTGAAGATTCAAAAGGATAGAATACAGGATGTGAAGA